TTTGATAACTAAATATTGAAGAGAACACAAATGAAATACTTAAGTACAGTAATAGTAAAGTAACTGGTAAAGTTGACAACATTGCATTCAGTGTACTAAAACTGGTCTTTATCCTTTTAAGCTTCACTCGAATTTGACCAGGTTGATTCTGCAGTTGTCCTAGTGAAAGTAGGTATTATAATAATGCAGGACACAAAGGATAAAGGTGAGCACAGCATTAGACTCCAACAAAAAACAGCTATTGAAGGCAATGTTTTGATCTGTACTCATAGATCCAAACATTGCCGTCAATACAAATGTATCTGGAGTTGGTGGGACAGTGTGCAGACAGTGTGCAGTAGTGATATTTTTGTCTTGCACCTGCATACTGTTGCCTGGATGTGCACACACTTGGTGCAATTATAAACAATTTGTATGTAATGTTGGAGGTTATACCATGGAGTCCTTCTTTGTTTTATTATCTTATTTTGTGTGAGTGTTATTCGTGGTGAGCCTGTAGCAAGATCATCAAGATGATCAATTTGAGAAAACTGAAGTTAGCATAGGATTTCTCTGTTATATTGAGACATTAAATGTTGAGAGAATCACTTAACATTTAGCTACAGCACTATCGGATAGACATCTATGGTAGTAAATAATTTCATTTTTGTTTGTTATTTGTGGGCAGCAAGACTACATGAGCTCAAATAACTGGGCTGAGCCGACTAGCATGCTACAGCCGATAGAAAACAACTGGTACGCTACCAAAACTCGCTCGCTTTCTGTTCCACGTGTGCGAGTAGTAGACATAAATAGGCAAGTGTTTGGGTTACAGGGCATACTACTGAACCTTGGAAGTTGCACACCAAACTCAAAAATCCTGTTCCAAATGTTACTGTTAAGACTCGTATATACTCGGGAGCGGACACGGACAGCTGCGGACCCCGCGGACATGGACCACTTCTACTACTTTCTGCAGTCGGCTTGGCGGAAATGTTTCACACATGCACAGTAGATTGGTTGCTGCCCTGGTAGCGCCAGTTGCTGTCCGCACAGACCGTACCCGTACCCCCTCTGATGATGATTTTTTTCGTCACACGGACCATAGCATACTCGCGGACGCGGAAAGTAATAGGGCTGTCACGGTGAAGTAATTTCGCTTGAGGTGATTTGTTGTGGCTCAACAGTGAGGTATGCAACATTATTGCCATTTTTGTTTTGTTTTTACAGATTATTTTTGATAAATGAAGGAATTTGGTGGCATATAGCTTAATATGTGTGCCTGTGGATCTTGGCCAATCTTATTTAAATTTGGGGTTATCGCAACAGCACTAGTACATCATGCATAAAAATTTGAGGAAGGTGACTGAAAAAATGGCTGGTAAAATCCCGAAAAATAAACCTGGCAACTAAATAATTATTTCACAGTTTAACAGATACACCTCAAAAGTTACACTTACACTGGAAGTATTAGACTATCGGTCTATTTGGACGTTTTATTACGGCTGTCAATATGTATCATTGCAAATTTGAAAGAATGTTGTCTTACTTTGTCTACTGTGCTGTTACTAATCCATAACACTGAGCCTGGTATTAAACCTAATCATATTAGACAACATAATATTACAGTGACGGTGATTATGAAGATGACAGTGAAGAAGATACAGCTTATTCCCTCATCTCTCTCCCCACCCTTTTCTAAACTTGTGTTCCCCTCTCTCCTGTCAGTTCTCCATATGTGGAAACACTACTCAGCGAATGCCTAGATTGACATAAGATAACAAATAAGCTGCAAGAAACTGACACCCAGTTCTCACTAAAGACACAAAGGTAAGAATTTACGGCTGTTGTAGTTAGGTACCATGCAGATATTTGTTCTCTTACATCTAGTACTCTACTCATCTGTGTCTTTGTTGCTGTTGACAAAAAGGTGAATTTATTGAGTTTATTTTGTCTATGTCAATGAGATTTTCTTGTTGCAGTACTAAATTATTCGCAGGTAACCGAGAATGTGTTATTTTTTCCTAAGTGCCACACGGTGATATATATGCTTAAATCTATTTACATATGCTTAAATAGTCATTGTGTTTGTAAAATCATTTGCTCATATGCTTACATTATAAAGTGTATTCAGATACTTTTCAAGTCATGTTATGCCATGTGTAAAACCATTGCATATGAAGGTCAAAATCCACTTTCTGAACTGCATTTGAGTTAATTAAAATCAACCATGCAAGAAATGTATTGGTTCGATAACATGAACAAATTTGCTGCCTCATACAAATGGGCGTTTTGTGACTGTCGTAGTGTTGATTAGGACCCTGTTGTCATTAACAGCTCAGCTCTAACAGCCTAATAGCTTTCAGTGTGGCCTTTACTAGTATATTGAGGGGACTAGTGGTTTCCTCATGAGTGTGGTCCTTGTTACTGAGAGCGCCAGTGCTCACTCAGCTACTAACATCGACATCATAATTGCTGATGTTTTTTTCTCTAATTTAATGGAAGCATTCATACTACATTTTGATTACTTTGACAAAAGAAAAAGAGAGGTCATGTGTGCTAAGAATAACAAATGATGATTTGACATTGCAGAATTCCATTCAAGAATTAGAATCTATTTAATCAGTGATAATGCTTATTGCATAACAGTCTCTCCTTTTCTCTCTAAAAATTTAGTCTGTCTGTAATCTTATATTTTCAGGATCACATCAATAGAATAAAACTTGTTTGGGTTATAAAATGGAAAACAGAATGACAGGCTGAGCTAGCAAAATATGTCATGTCACACACGCACATAATAAGATGTCCTAGGCCCGTGTCTATGTCAGACTCCTGGTAATCTCAGCATAATCTGATAAGTAAACTTGAGCCTGGATCACAGTAAGTGGTTGTGACAAAGTGTGCCCAACTGCATGGACCCATGCACATGTACACACACAAAATTATGCCGATACTTTGGTTTGGAAGTGTCCAAGTGCTGAATACTAATAATTAAATTGTTTTGGTTTTTTTTGCAATATGCAAAGAATGCCATGTCATGAAATCATGAAATAAGGATAGCTCCAAATCAAACTCACAATGAAGTTAACTTGGAAAGCATTGTCAACATCCAACACATCAGTGGTAAACAACAGGATTTATACCCAGTCCAGCCCAAACTTTACTTTGCACACCTGTACAAATGATACATGTATCATGCAATTGAGATAGAAAAATGTATACAATCAACTACAGCCCTGTAGGCAGGGATGGAAATTAACACCCGCCAAATGCAGGTGGATTTTCCGTTTTGCTGCCAAATGTTGGAAGGCAACCAAACACATTGGCGGATAAATATATTCGGCATGATATCGCCATATAATTTCTATTTGACGGTAATTGGCTGCAGATCGGCGTTGTTGTTGGTTGTGTGTCGCACTTAAATTGGTCCTGGATGTACCAAGGAATCTAAAATCGTGTAACACACGGATTAGGTGGGTTCATTGGTTGTTGTTTATGTTCTTTTCATGTTACTTTTGTTTGATTGGCATAGATTTGTAAGGGGTGGGCGTTAGGGGACAGGAGTCGGGAGGAAAAGAGGGGAGAGTGTAGGCGCTTTCATAGGGAGATCAGCGCGGAAAGAAAATCTGCATATATGTCGCATTCGCTTATTCATACCGAAACAAAAGTTTGTAGCTTTATCCCATGGGAAAAGCCTTTATCCCGCAACCATGTGCGCTTTCACATAGCGGTCAGGCTTTACCGAAACCAGCGGCGTGCCGCGGCATGTCGGCTGTGGCTTTTCACAAACAGCTTATTCCGTTCCTCTGTCTCATTCTGTCACCAACTTTCCCTGCTCAGAGGCGAATAAAATCTGCTCCATACCTTACATAAAGTGCAGCAAGCCGGCAGAAGTGTGAGTGAAAACTGAGCTGGATAGTTAGAGGTCCAGTCTAGTGTCTGATCCACTGTCAGATCTTCTTCTGGCCTCCTCAGAGATCAAGGAGTACGATCCATAGGCTGTATAAAAAAATGTCGATCCCACAAAAGCTGTGATGTTGTGGCACCAGGACTCTGTCACAACCAGGAGGCCAGAAAAGGGTGAAAGTGAGCAGTCTGAAGAGGAGGTTTAAGTTGAATGATAAAGCATGACAAGAGTGAGCAGCGTTGAGATTTAAGTTGAATGATTAATAAGCAATCTTGTAAGTTTATAAAACAATTTACTGTTACGTTTCAAGTACATTTAATAGCAATAATATGCTTCAAATTTCACTCTGGCCTCTTATTTAAGTTTGGATTTGACATAATACCTTATTATCTCAATTAAAAGGACAAAAACAAATGTATGTGTAACACAAAAGGCAATTTATTAATTTGTCTGGTAAAAAATATGCATGGTCGGTGGATTATTTCATCTACCAGCCAACATGGCAGGTAAGCTAAAAAATCCCTTCCCTGCCTGTAGGATAGTTGCGAAGGAGAATGAGATCAAGTAAAAAGTTATTAAGTCCCACATACTCTGAGCACACAATTTACTAAAGAACCATAACCATCATTAGGCATTAAAAGATAATTCCAGTTCATTTCACCTTGGCATATTTCCCATAAACGTGGCTATTGGGGCTCTATTGGTTGTGGCACTCGCCACTTCCGAACATAGATCCTTACGCAGTTAGCCATAATGGCTGTTCCAGGCAGCTTATTTCTGTCACAGACTTACAAGAGTTTTAAATTATTGTAAAAACCATGTTTATTTGGAAAGCTATGGGAGGTTTTCATAGCTTGTTCCAATATAGGTTGTATTGTGCAAGTCCTCGTTTCCACAAATCTCTGTAACGGAGATGGAAGTGCGAAGTTATGCACATATCATGGATCCACAATAGCAAAATTTATGGCAAATATGCCAGGTTGAAACAAACCAGAATTTTCCTTTAAGAATTGTAATTTAGATGGACTTGTAATATGGCTTTCAATGGCCACCTCACCTGCTCTCTATGTGGGCATGTTCAGGTTATATGGTTTGAATGTTCTCTGTATTACAGGCTGCTACGAGGATGTCTGGCTCTACCCAAGAAGAAGAGGAGTTGCCTGCCAATCACACAGGTTAGAGGCATAAGTCAGAAAGATGCAGTCGACATGAATTGCTAAAATGGCAGCCTGGCCTCATTAGTATAGTGTAGCTTTTGTAAATCATCACAACAGACATACAATTCTGACTCAAAATGTATATTTAAATTTGTCTTCATGAGGTAATGTTTTCATGGGCATTTCTTTGTGTCTGCAGGTCCAAAAGGCGTAATTAATGACTGGCGAAGGTTTAAGTTGGACAGTGTAGATCAGACTGCCCCCCAAAGAAAAAGAGAGCTGCTCAGACAAATGTCCAGTCCACGAGAGGATGACAAGGAGAGACTCAACAGAAAGGTGAATGGAAACGACTCACAGAACTTCAAACCAATTGACAGGTTTTATAGTTAATGACAGGAAGACAATAGACATGGTGCACAGATATGTGCCTAAAAATCTAAAATATATGGTACACAACAGCAGTCTATTGTGACTTGGATTGTAAGTCATTTGTGCATCTGACAACAGAATACATTTAAATGGAACAAAAAAGCGAAGCAGTAATGTACAGTATATTTTCCTTACCTGTAGATGAGTGTGCAGGAGTACGAACTCATCCAAGACGAGGATGAACGTTGCCTGAAACGCTACAGAAAACAGTGCATGCAGGAAATGCACGAGCGCCTGAGCTTTGGTCCGACGTTTGAAGTTGTCTACGAGCTTGAAAGTGGAGAAGCCTTCCTGGAAGTGATAGAGAAGGAACATCGGTTGACCCCAGTGGTAGTCCACATCTACCAGCACGGTGTCAAAGGTTAGGTTTTTTTTATCATGCGTTTTTAAGTCTTGGCTCAGTGACTCATGGTACGACTACGGTATAGTCTCATTGATGAACATACATGCTACAATATGTACTCCAAAAATGTGTATTCCTGTGGGATAGTTCACTACACTGCTCTTTGCAAATAGTTATGCACGCATTATTTGTCTTTGTCAGGCTGTGAACAGCTGAACTCATGTCTGGACTGTCTGGCTTCGGAGTACCCCAGTGTTAAATTTTGTCGCATTGATGCTGTGGCAACAGGTGCTGCTGAGCGCTTCTCCTCTGAGGTTAGTAAACTGTTAAAAACAAAAACAGCAAAGAAATTTATATTATTGTATAATACTAGAGTAGACTTGGGCTGTAATATTAGCAGTGTAATTTCTAGTAGTGCTAGCCACACTGCTATGAAGAACTGAGGTTATGAGAGGTTAATTGACTAAGATGTGACACATGTTGCAGTCACTCGTATCTACCTGTCTTCAATGACTTTTGAAAGTAAAACTTAGGAAGAAATATATATACATTTTTTTTAATTTACCAGTTTAATCTCTGTTGTGTGAGTTGTTTTTGCCTTATTTTTTTTTTTATCTACAATGGCTGTAATACACCTTTGTATTTTTGACCAAAACATGAGGAAACAACATCACATAGTGATTCTCTTCTATGTATTTACTGTAGCTTGACTGTGGAACTATCCTACAGTAACCCCTGGTTTCTTCCTGTTGGAAACACTCTATATGTAGTCTTCAAATGTATAGTAAGACCCCTTTCCCTATGAAAATCAAGCGGTAAATCTGCCACTGTTATCATTGCATCATGCTGGAATGGAAAGCTTGACAGAAGTAGTAAAAATAACCACTTGGATAAACTAAATGGATTTTATTTGTAATAAAATGCAGCTGATTTTCAGTATACTTAGAGGCTGTATTAAACAAATTACAACCTCTCAGGCCCCATGCACACTGCAGCGTTTTCATTTTAAAACCGAGACTTTTGCTACGTTTGCACCTCCCGTCCAGACTAAAATGGTGAAAACGAAGACCTAAAACACGTAGAAGTTTGAAAACGCTGCCAACCCCGTTTTTCGTATTAAAACTCCGGAGAGTGTTTTACTGCAGATGGCCAAAAACGGAGGACTTTAGAAACGATGACGCAGACGCTCACGTTTGGCTCTCTGATTGGGTCTCATGAGTCATGCAAAGTAGAAACACAATGCTACTGACAGTTTTTGATTTGGTGTTTTTATTAAAATATTTTGTACGTGCACATAACACTCGTACTGTGCATGTCACTTTACGGTGAGTCTGTTTTCCGCCGCCACAGCTGCTTTTACCTCCCGTGTTACATTCAGTAACAGTTCCAGCTCATTGTTGGTCCATGCATAAGAAATATCTGGTGTGATTCTTCGTCTGTATTTCTTTATTCTTTCACCAAATCTTCTGTAACTACGGAAGGACAATCTGCTTCATGTTTACACCGGCATTGACTTAAACTTCTTGTTATTGAAAAGAGTTAAAGATTGTTACCAGATGCTGAGCACTGACTATATTAAAACCACTGTCACTGTTAAAAGATCAGCATCACAGACAGCCTACAAATACAGTTTGATTCCTGTTTATATCCTTCCAGGTTCTTCCTGCCTTGCTGGTTTACAAAGCTGGTGAGTTACTGGGTAATTTCCTGGCTGTTACCAAACACTTCAATGAAGACTTCTTTGCAACGGATGTGGAGGCGTTTCTCAATGGATACGGCCTGTTACCTGAGAAGGAGTTCACAGCCTGTGCTGAGGATGAGGATGAGGGAGGCGACGTGGAATAGAAAGAGAAGGAAAGACAAAAGAGAAGAGGATGATAGTTGAGAGAAGGGGACAAAAGGAGGAATTGTAGTAGAGGGAAGTGGAATAAAGTAGAGAAAGAGGAAAGAGGAAGAGGGGACAATGGAAGGGAGTGCAGAAGAAAGGAAGTGTGGACAAAAAGAAAGGAGGGGAGAACGACAAGTGGGACAGTGTCTCACTCATGACACACACAAACAAATGAGTTAAACACACATAATAGTAAAAAACCCACCAGATTGTATTTAGAAACAGTTAGACCACATGGTGTGGGAAAGTATGTGCAGAAATACTGCTTTCCAATAAAAAATACTCTAGCAAAGTTGTCTGTGTCTGTCTAATATTGTACAAGAAACTATATGATGAATATGTAATGATAGATATCAGATCTTATAACATAGCCACCATCTGAATAAAGTCCTTCAACAGGCACATAGTGTATGTGGAGCATTATGTTAGCATGGAGGGGAGTGTATCTACCATGGCCAACTTTTCCATTAGGTTCTGAACCATCGCCAGTCTATACCACTCAACATTTACAGAAGTTTCTCAGTTTTAACCAGCTGGTGGATATTTGTTTTCTCACAAAATATAAATGTGCCTGATGCAAACAAAAACTTACCTCATCTTATGTCAATGAACTAAGGTAACTTATCCTATATTGATAGTTATTTAGTAAATGCACAGTATTTGTTTTTTATGTGGTGTTAATATGGGCCCGTTATGATTAGCTCTGCTATCATACTACCGTGCCTCAAAGATGGGGAACTATTCATTCGGTATGTGACACTCAATAAGATTGGTAATCACTACCTTTCACCCCATATAATAATGTGATTAAAGCCCATTGGACCTGTTTTACACATTCATGACTAAAATCTGTAAGAATAAATTAGGAGAACATGGTCATCAGGTGTTCCATTATTTTTATTAAACAAAACTAAGTCACTGAGGGATGAGCACAGACAAGCAGACAAAACTAATTTCCACTGAAAGTCCTCATGCAATAAAAACCCACGATGAAAATTCTTTTAAAAAAACGAAAGCCCTCTAAATTGTATCCTAGGGCAATAAAACAAGTCCGTTACTGAAAGTTCAATTATAAATTATTATATGTTTTACGTTTATGTTGTATGTTTTAATGTCTGCAACCTTGTTAATTGTGCTGCTGCCTGTCTTGGCCAGGACGCTCTTGAGTTTTCTTTATTTCTTCTAAACAAAGGCAAAATAAATTACGTAAATAAAACTGTGTTAAGATAGCAAAAGGTGATCATGATAAAAGCAAGATAACAGAAAACAGCGACTTGAAATTGTTACGTCCTTTGGAGGATTATTACATTAAAGCAGAGCACCTGAGAAAAAACAGCCAAGTAGGTAGAGGGATCATGGTTCCCCGAGTGTATCCTCTCAGGCAGCTGCTGCCTAACATGCTGTGCTGTGTAAACTGAGTTAGTGTGTAGGTGTTCAAGTGGTATTTTAAACCATTGTTAAGGTTACGGCTACCAATGTTTTTAACTAACGCGGCATTTGTACGCAACACGAGAGGAAATGCTGCCTGAGAGTCTCTACTTTGGGAGAAAAAACAAGGTGGTAGGAAGGAAGAACTCCCATGTTTGTAGTCCAGACTCTCTTGGTGTTTTGACAGAGGTGCTAGCGATTAGCACACGGATTTTTACATGGTCGTGATTTGGAGGGGATTCATTAAATGTATTCGAGCTATTAAATTCCTTTAAAATCTGAAACATAAAATTTGAGGAAGATGCAGGATGACGCGCGGTACCTCAAACGGTAAGACGTAGCTAAGCTAACATTATCGTAACGTTAAATTGTACTGAATCTTTTTGTGTGTGTGAAAGAGTAACGTTAGCTAACCTTATTACTGTGCCTTTTGTGCGTTCATATTTAAATGTGGTATCCATAGTTCTGTATCAGCAGTAACTATAGACGTTTTAACAAGTACCTGGGTAAAACTAAGGAGTGTTTGGTATTGAAATAACGCCGTATCTAACGTTAGTTAGCCCTGGTGCGTTCGGGAGTGAATCTCGCACCAATCATTGGTCAAAATTGTGACAATTTCATATTTTCGTGCACGCCATGAAACGCGAGCACCAAGTGTAAGATGATTAAACAGCTTTTATAAACCACTGTGACCCACCTGTCAAATCGGCATATATGTAATCCGCAGACAATAAGCATACTTGTACTAAAATGTTACGACCGGGTGCGCTTGCTTCAAGACCGCTCCTTCGTGGAAGATGCTAACGTTATAAGTAGGGAGCTTATTAGCAGTACAAGGACACAACCTTGATTCATTTTCACAGTGCCGAATCCACCACAAAAATATAAAACCATTAAAAATGTATTTAAATTTCCAACCGAGCTATATTTTCGCCGGTGAACACGACACCATTAAATAGACCGTTTTTTAAACGGGATTTGGCATTCCCGATACAATCCCTCAATCAAGGGAGCTGGATGCGTTACAGCCAAAGACTGTGAAACGGTGACAGATAAATTGCCTTGCTGGTTTATTTTCAATGTGTTTGGTAGTTTACTCAGTGAGTTGAGCTAATCTTTTTTTGATTATCCATCCCTTTGTGGAAACGTGTTAGCCAGCCAGCATGTAGCCATTTAAATGTCGCTGCCTGGGCGTGTCTTTGGTATTTTCCTATAATAACGTTATTCTTGTGGTGGGTGAATAAATGTAAACAGTATACATTACAGTGCATATGTTATATCAGCCAGTATGTGTTACATATTATCAGTTATTATCAAACTTGCAGTGGGGGACAGTAATGAATTACATGTACACAAGTACTGTAATTAAGTACAAACCAGACCCACTTTCTACTTCTACTCCACCACATCTCAGAGGCAGGTAATATACTTTTTACTTCACTACATTCATCTGATAGCTTTAGTTACTAGTTACTTTACAAATTACGATTTTTATGCACAAAACATATGAAGAGAGATTAAATACATGTTTTGTTATAAATTAAACTAATCAACATTTCATACCAGCACAGTTGACATAATTATTAAATTTCCAAAGTTTAAATTAAAATTAACTGGCAACAACTTTGATTGTTTAAGACATTTGTCATGTAAAAACATTTCATTGTTCCAGCTTCACAAATGTGAAGATTTGCTGCTTTTCCTTCGAATTATTTTAGTTTATTTGTAATAATTTTGAGCTTTGTACTGTTGGCTAGGCAAAGCATCGTGAAGGTGTCACTTTGGGCTCTGAGTAATTTTGACGACATTTCTTACTATTTTGAGTTCATCAATTAAAGGAGAAAATAATCAGCAGAATACTCTATAATAAAAATAATCATTACTTGCACTCTGATACAAAATAGTTCAAAATGAGCTCCCGCTCAAGAATTACAGCAGTAAAATCCTGCTTGTACATTACTGCATGATTAATAATAATAATCTAATACAGGACATTATAACTAAACGAAATATTATTGAAAAGACAACCTTTTTATAATAAATGCCATTGTTTATAATAGGAACGTTTGCCTACTGTATTTTTAAATAAACATAACCGTAATAATAGTACTTTTTACTTTTAATACTTAAATATTTTAAAAGGGCAGGTACCTTTATACTTCGACTCAAGTAGAAATTTAAATTGAAGACTTACACATTAAGTGGAGTAAATTTAGCAAGGTTATCTGTACTTTTACTCAAATACAGGATTAGTAGAATTAAGTGACAGAGGGATGATAGAAATGTTTGAAATGTGACGGCTGTAGTCATGTTCTTGAGGGAGAAATTGACTTCACCCTGCTCATTTATTGTGAAACTCATTCATTTGAAACTCCCAATGCAGGGGTAATTTAATATGCATATATCGATGTGTTCACTGGAGTTGTACAAAGTTATAGAACAAAGATTAAATGCTTGAGTTATTATTTACTAAACTGTCTGTTCTTCATCACGCAAAGCAAAGTGACTGCAGGCAGTTTGGATGTCCATCCGACAGAGAAGGCTCTCGTGGTCCACTATGAGGTGGAAGCGTCCATACTGGGAGAGGGTGGAGGTCATATGCTGGGCGAACGCAAGGAGGGACAAAAAATGTGAGTGTATTCTACTTCTTTTTGTTTCACTTTTAAATTTGAATTGGATTAGTTTTATGCAGGTTGATCCTTGAAATCACTATTGTGGGTATAGGTATAGCCATATTATCACTAGGGCTGGGTATCGAGTTCAATACTTTTTAGGCACCGACCGAATTGCTTCAATACCACGAGTATCAAAAAATGCATGAATGTTTAGGTTGCTATTTTGCCAGAGCACAAATTCACATATAAACAAAAAATATATAATTAATAAACAATGAAATGACATTATAAACAATAAAGAAAGGGGAATAAAAACAACAAAAACACAATATAGGCCTATGTCTTGCTTTTTGACAAGCAGTAGAAAGTTTTATTTATATAGCGCCACTTCACAACAGGAGTTATCTCATTGCACATTTCACATCGAGCAGGTCGAGACCGTTCTCTTTATAACAATATTTACAGGACACTTCCCACCATCAGCAGCCCAGAGCAAGTTCCTCCACATAGGGAGGAAAATAATAGTAATGGTAGCACCGACGTGGCTCTGAATTTTCCTGAATTTTGGATGTTGCACGAAGGAGTTATATCCTGATCAGGATCTTTGTGCCCCCTTTGACCATATAAATTGTGGGAAGAAATTGTCAGTAGCCAAGCAGTAACCTTTTTATTAGGGAATAATTCAGAGTATGTATGTATTGCACCAAAAATACATGTACTCTGACTTGTCCCCATAAATATAAACTTTAGATGCGTTTATTCAGGAACAGGCTAGTTGTTCAGCTTCATTTTAGGTTTTGGTAATGTTCTGTTGCAGGTATGTTTGTGTTATGTGTTAAATTTCACTCAAGCATACTTCCATATAAACCGTTTTTTCTTTCTTTCTCCTTACAGTATCCGTGTGAAAAGTCTTTCTTCCAGTACAGATGTAGGAGCTTTGGCCAAGAAAGTGGTGGAGGAATGTAAACTCATCCCTCCATCCCGTTTGCCTCAGGTGGAGCAGCTCCTCTACTACTTGCAGAACAGGAAATCATCCCCGGTGGAGGGCAAAAGTCAGTCATGTCACCATCATAACACCCTTACTGTAGAGTCTAAACATATCCAAATGTTCACAATCCAAATTTGATTACAAACCTAAGGGCTAACTTTATACACATAAATCTTAACTTGTAGGCTTAATAAACATTTATTTGTTATTGGAATCTCTATTAGCTGATTTGGCTTTGAAAGCTACTCTTTCTATGCCACACACACAACATCACAGTATAAAGGGTTGTAAACATTATAAACAATGCTCAACACATTCAGTTGTGAGAAATTCAGCCATAGAGGCAATGTTACTGATCTGTTATTGAATATACAACGAGACGATTAATGTACAGATGTAATGTGATTGATGTACAATATCTAAGGTGTACTAAAAGTATCAATAAATGAATTAAATCTCTAAGTTTTGAAAGAAATACTTTAATATTTTTATTATTGGCTGTTTGTGTTTGTTTTTTTTTGTCTCCAGTGGAGAAGAAAGAGAAAAGATCTGTGAAACCCAGAGAGCTGACACCGTTTGAAGGAATGGAGGTAACAACTTAAAACACTTGACTGCTTGTTTGTTCATGTTTCTTGTTCCTTCACAGCCATTTCAGTTCTGTGATCTCAGTTCACGGACAGCATTCACTAAACGTTTGGCTCACTAATCTGATTTACAATGACACTGAATTTGAGGCATCTGTGTCATGTAATGACGCATGTGTTTCCCTTGTATTTGTTTCACTTAAATTTAATTTACAATATGGCTGCTGGTTCAGAATCAGACTTATTGCTAAGTAGGTTTACACATTCAAGGAATTTGCTTTAGTGATTTGTTGCTTAACAATAAACATATATTCTTTATACTGTATAACAGGGCTCTACAGTGTGAACAATTTGGTCACATATGCCACTAAAAAAAGAAATGTGCGATGCAGTGTGCAAGTAAAGATTACAACCATAATCCCCCCCGCCCCGCCGCTATCCATTCATAAATACAAAAATATGAAATTGACAAGAGTATAAAACAAATAATAAACACAATGGCAGTTATTTACAAAGCCCAAAGCCCAAAAGCTTTAAATCTTCATTTTATTTGACTGGAATCGTGTGTGTCACTCCTTGTTATTGGTGTGTGTGTGTTTGTCTGTGTTTATGTTTGTCTGTGTAGTTAAATGAGGAAGCCAGTATAACCAAAGTGGAGGAGTATGTTGAACTGCTCTATGAAGGCATCCCAGAAAAGATCAGAGGCTCGGCTCTCATTCTGCAGCTCGCCCGCAACCCTGATAACCTGGAGGAGCTGCTACACAATGGTATAGTTTCACTCTACCTACTAATACAGATGTTTAGCAAAGTAGCTCCTATCTACGTACCTACATTTACATGCATATTTAAGTGAGGTGGTACATTCTATTCTCATTTTCTATGCTTAAACCAACCAAAGTGTGTGTTTATGGTGTCTTCTCTTCTGTAATTTTTATTGGTGGAGCTTGGGGTTATGTAGGTGGCGCTCTTCTCAGACATGGTGACTGACTACCAGGTTTTCTTCTCTTATTCTGTTAAAGCTATACAAATCAGTCCTTGTGCACCAGAGTGTTTTTCTAATCTGATAGAGAGGACATTTACTCATGTAACAATGTATTATTAAATTAAATTCCTTATCAACAAATCCCTATATTACTGCCTATTTGCCAACGGCCTGTAATCTCACTTACAAATGAACAACCCGCTTATTTCCGCTGTTGCTTGGAACAGCCACTATTCTGCTTCCTATGTGATGGAATCGGATTAGGTTCTAGATGCATGTGCGCTTCTGAGCCTCTGTGCCGCTACAGCGACAACACCACAGCTAACGAAATAAAGTCCTCTAACACCATAGAAAGACCGGCTCCCGGCATAAGACAGACTCCAACATGAACTCCATGTAAGGATAAACAACAAACAACAACAAAGTTTTATGTGCTGAAGCCTGTCAAACGAGAATCAAGTGATTCACAGTCATGTGAAACATATTGTAATTTTGTGGCTCATGTTAGATAATGTTAGCTCGACGGCTAATGCTGTGCAGTTGCTAACATTATCCGGTGCAAAAAACTGGCTGTTTGACTTTCCACATTACTTCACCAGCTAACGCGATCCATAAGCCGTGTTTCCATCAATGTTTTTTTACATTTATTCATTTAGCTGACGCTTTTATCCAAAGCGACTTACAGTTGCTATACATGTCAGAGGTCGCACGCCTCTGGATCAGCTAGGGGTTAAGTGTCTTTCTCAGGGACACATTGGTGGATGGGTCACAGTGGGGGATTGAACCAAAGGCATGCGTCTTATCCACTGCTCCATCACCACACCATTTATGCGCCTTTTGAAGTATCGCATTAGAAAAGGTCGGTGGAAATGGCAAAAAGTTTTCAAGCTCGCTTGAGGCGGTTTTTGCCTTGATCTAAATGGGAGATGGAAACACTTCTGCCGAATAAGTTCTGACGTAGCGAACTTGTAACTCATCTGATCAGCTGTTTCCGCTGTCGGTGTCTTGCCAGATATTCCCATAATGCGCAGAAACATGACTGGTATCAGTTTGCCCCCTTGAAACACATTCCTGAGGACCTCTGTCCATTTTTTTTAAGATCAGTGGCCATCAGCTCCATGTGACTGGTTTTGTTTTCTGGTTTGAAACCCATTCGTCTTGTTGTTAACGCCGATGTATCACGTCTCTTACTGTTGCCTGGAGTTCTCCAGTTTATGGTATTTATTTGAACTGAAAACTACCATACAGGAGTCACAGAATTACAAAATAGGGCTGGTAGTGCAGTATAATAGGTTAGCTCTAATCCAAGGTATAGCCTAACTCCTTGTTTGTTTTTACATACGGCCGGTGCCACAATCTACTGTACTTGTCTCGTCACCTGAAACTGCATTTGTGTCTGTGTGTAGAAGCAGCTCTGGGTGCTCTGGCCAGAGTACTGAGGGAGGACTGGAAACAGAGTGTAGAGCTGGCCACCATCATTGTTTACATCTTCTTCTGCTTCTCCAGGTAACGCAGACACCTACGTTACAGAACATTGTTTTAACACGCTACGTCATCATTTAACATAGTGTTCTCTTCTCCTTTCCGGCAGTTTCTCCCAGTTTCACGGCCTGGTGACTCATTATAAAATTGGCGCGTTGTGTATGACCGTGGTGGAACATGAGCTGAAGAGACATGATGCGTGGCGTGAGGAGCTGCGCAAGAAAAACAAGGCTTATATCCTTTTATCTGCTGTCATTCGCTTCTTCCTTTGGAGCTGTCAACAGTTTTGTTTTTTTACCCTTCTCTTGTGTAGTTTACCTTACTTTTTTTTGTATCTTTAAACATTATGTTTCCCTTAACACTCTTTTGTGTACGCGAGTCAGCTCCAGAGAATGGCTCTCTAAGGAGAGACCAAGACAAAGCTATGAGGAAATACCAAGGCCTTCTGGGTAAACAAGAACAGCTGCTCAGAGGTAGCAAGTCTATTTTTTTTTTTTTTTTTGTCATACAGTAGCAAGAACACCAGATCTTTTCTGTGATGTGAATGTGTTGTTGATGCATCACTTAAATCCAAATTAAGATCAGATTAAAGTGCATTCCTGGTCACATCCTAGCCACATGTATTCATAAATAATATGACTTTCCCACCAGTATTTACCACTTCATAGAGGAGAGCTAAATCATAACCACATTATCTTCACCCGTGTGAAAGCAGCATTAGTTCACAGTCATGTTTCAACACAAGTTTTTTATATTCTATAATCTCTAATTTTCTATCTGTTTTTCACTGCCTACCAGTGTCTCTTTACCTGCTGTTGAACCTTGCCGAGGACACCAGGACGGAGCTGAAGATGAGGAATAAAAACATTGTTGGCCTGTTGGTCAAAGTTCTTGAACGGGACGACGAGGAGCTGCTGGTCCTGGTGGTTTCATTCCTCAAAAAGCTGTCCATCTTCCTGGAGAACAAGAATGACATGGTGAGTAGAAGAGAGAACTTAAGAATTAATTCTGTTAGACTAGATTTACGGTGCGTATAGCCTAACTGTAACAGAACAGAAGTCAGTGCAGCCCTGAGTCATTCTGTGCTGCTTTCAGATCTGTTTCTCCTGTAGATCAACTTATTCAATATCATCCCTGCTGTTTTAGTCTTCCCTCCTCTTCGTGTCTTTGTTTTGGGAAGTAAATGTGATTGTGACACTTTTTCACTTCAATGAGAATTAATTAATTAATTTTAATTTAGTTATAAACTCCTGGACTTTGATAGCTCCTGTGTTTCAGCAGATTTTCTGCTAATGGTCAAAACTTTATGCACATTCAGAATCTCTCCCACATATCTGTGTTCTCTGACCAGAGAAAAGTCATAATATTACCAGACATCATTTAATGAGAAGTCTACCTGCCCTTTACTCTGCTGTGCATTACGTTATTGATCCGCTGGTAGTAACGTTATCCCCTTCACACCGTTTGACTGACGCAGTTTGGGACTGCATGAGAAATCGAAACTAACTGAAACACTTTTGATCAGGCAGAAATCTCACGACAAATCCGCGCACACGTTAACTTCCAGTGCAGCTCACAGTCCCAAACAGAGCAGGCTGCGCTTCGGTTTATAGATGTTTATTATGTAAAACGATACCAGCTTTGTTACCACTCGTCACAGCTGTCTGGACCATTGACTGTATAAAAAGTCTGACTCACAACGCGAGCGGGTTCAGCTGATGGCTATCGCGGCGTACGCACATTCAGTCAGCTGGGCAGAGGTGATTAGCTCCATGAGTCTATCAGTTATACATTTGTATTTCACTGCGTGAGGAGAAAATGAATGTGTGGCTTGACAGCGTGTTAAAAATGTAATTTGCGTGAGTCTCACGAGACAGCTTTTTACCTGACGAGAATTCTCGTAATAATTTAATCGCGCGAGATCTCGTCACACCGCTAATGTTGAGTAATTTCTAAAATTGTCACTGCAAGCCATGAGTCTATGAATGAGGCTGTTGGCTTGTCAAACCATAATAAGTAACTGCAGTAATTACCATTTACAAAATAAGAAATAAATTATTCAAGTCACAATAATGTTTGTCGTATTCTTCTAGTTGTATTTATTGCTTTACCCTCAATGTTTGTGTTTGGAACTTTTCTGTCTTCTTCTGCTGTAATCACTGAGTTTTAGGCTACACTACTACATTTGCGTTTACGTTTGCACCTCCCCTGTCTAGTAGGGGTGGGAATCTCTGGGCACCTCACGATTCGATTACGATTCAGAGGGCTGCCACTCAAGTATAAAACAATTATCGATGCATCTTGATGCATAATTTTTTCTATACAGGACACTTTACACATAGTTACAGTGACAGAACAACAAAAAGTCATACAGGATTGAATGCCTTGGTAAAGAGCTGGGTTTTTAGTAGATTTTAGTAGAAGTGTCCAGACAGGGAGCATGATGGATCTCTGTGGGGATGAGTCCCAGAGGGTGTGGGCTGTGACGCTGAAGGCTCTGTCCCTTAAAGTCCGGAGTCTGGTGTGGGGGACAGATAGCAGGCCCTTGTACAGGGGAGACGCTAGCGGCAACAGCCTTTACTTTTCCAGCTGTTGGGGAAACTCCAGACTTTTATTAACGGACACACTGTAACCTACGCTGCACATTTACTACCAGGCTGAAACTTACTGCAAATATTTTCCTCCGCTAACTTCCATTGTCATATTCTGCCGCTCGCTCTCTCTCATTCGCTCGGCCTCACTCAGGATACGCAGGGATACGAGTGTCACCATGCTTGCAGTGTGCGAGTTAAAATCATTATTTGCGCATTAATATGATTGTGTGACATTTTAATGGGTGTTTATTCATTGTGCGGCGGTGGTGTGCCGGATACAGGGGAACACTGCTGGTCTCTCTGTTGTGTGCGCTCCACAGACGGTCCGGGCGCTGCAGTTCCGCCTTTTGCCTTCCGTCAACATTACCTTATCAATTAACATTTAAATAATCGATTTTTAGACATTTGTTAATCTATTCATAATCTTCCATGTCCGCATCGCGTTGCATCTAAGAATCGATTATTTCTCCCACCCCTACTGTCTAGAGTAAAACTCTGAATCCGAAGACTTAAAACGGAGAAGTTTGAAAACGCTGCTGACCTCGTTTTTGTTTTAGTGCAGACAGGCGAACATGGAGGACTTTAAAAATGCTGATGATGATGATGCAGATGCTCACATCTGGCTTCCTAAAAGGGTCTTATAAGTTATGCAAAGCAGAAATACAATTCTACTGGCAGTGTTTTAGTGTAGGTGTTTTTATTAAAATATTTTGTACTGTGCATATAACACTTATCACTTGCACTGTGCATGTCGCCGTATTTGCTTTGTAAAGACTCCCAGTCTGTTTCCCACCGCTACAGTCGCAACACTTCCATCTTGTTGTCGGTAGATGTGCATTTTCAGTCGTTTTAATAAGGAGATTGGTTTCATTTTTAAACACAAACGTATGTTTGCATAGTAGTGTGGATGCAGCCTTAGTTTAATCTGTTCCTGTGTTTATTATTTGCAGGCTGAGGTGGATACTGTGGAACGATTGGCTCGTTTGGTTCCCTGTGACCATGAAGACCTGTTGAACTTGACTCTGCGTCTGCTGCTCAACCTCTCTTTTGACTCTGGACTCAGAGCCAAGATGGTGGAAGTTGGACTGTTACCTAAACTGACTGCCTTGTTGGGTAACAGTACACGCTAAATGCAAAATATCAGTATACACTATATTCAAAAAATGTACAATACATGCTTTATTCACAGTAGAATATTCATGCGATGAAAAACTACATCTATAGAAATAACAATTATTAAGTCCTTGGGGTTTTTTTAAATTACATTTGGTGATATCCTGACTTTTCCAGCAGGTTGACATGTTTATCTTTCTCTGAAATGTGTTGACAACTGTTGAATAGATTGCTATGAATTAACCCTCTGGATTAATTGTTGACTTTTCATGACGTTTGTCCAATACTTATCGCCTAATACCTGCAGGATGGTGAACATGTGTAAACATTGTACCTTGTAGACTCTTGTCTTGTTGTTGTGTCAGCGACAGTTGATTTACATAATGTTGTAAGAGGGTAGGGTTATTTTCCATGCCTGTTGTGGTCAAACATTGATGACTATAAGAATATCCTGACTGGTGTGTATGTTTGTTTTCAAGCAGGTGATGAGAACAACCGTCAGGTTGTCATGCGTATACTGTATCACATCAGCATCGACGACCGTTTCAAGGGCATGTTTGTTTACACTGACTGCATACCTCAGGTACATTGAGATCTACCGAATATCACCTTAAACAAAGTAAAGGAATATAAACTGCTAATTTAAACATGTATGCTGACTTTAATAGTTTAAAAGTCACTGGTAAAATTGTGTCTGTGTCTAGCTCATGCAAATGCTGTACGAGCACAGTGAGGAGGAAACTGAAGCTGAGCTCATCTCCATCTGCATCAACCTGGCTGCAAACAAGAGGAATGCACATCTCATGTGTGAAGGTATATTTATATGAGTAGCATTTTATTACCAGATACTGGCTCACTGACTACTGACTTTTACACAAATAGATATTCCATTCTCTGTCAGGCCCTGTTTACACCTGGCATTCAAATGTACCTTGAGTGATCCAATCACAAGTGGACAGCTTGTGAATGCACTAGGGATGTCACAAGAACCCATACTTCGGTACTACGTCAATACCAGAACTCTGAAAACATAACGGTACTCGTTTTTCTAGGTACCAGAGATTCACCCTACCGAATCCAGGGTGAAGTTAGTTTAATATTCATTTAAAAGTTTGTCAGTTTTTGGCGAGTGTTACCTTTAATAGCCACAGAGAGTTGAGATAGAGCAGCCGGAGAACATCAGAGGGTAAATATTTTTCTCCATAAAATATGATCCAGATTCACTAAAGTCAGTGAATAAAGTAAATACAGTAGAAACACTCTGCACTTGCCTCATTTGTCAGTTAATCAAATTCAGGTTAGAAAACACCAACACATTTGGTCTTAGCAGAAATGTTGTACTCACCTGTTCAGACAGGACTTTTTGACTTCGTTTCTGGCTTAGGAAGAGATCGGTCTGTGTTGACAACACTACTGGATTGATCTGTGATTACTGGAAAAACAAGTAACAGTAAAAAAAATTCTGTTTTACCTGAGTCTCTGTTTGTGTCTTTCTGTCTGCAGGAAATGGGTTGAAGATGCTCATGAAGAGAGCGCTGAAGATGAAAGACTGCCTTCTGATGAAGATGATCAGAAACATCTCACAACATGACGGAGCAACCAAACCGCTGTTCATAGTGAGTTAAAATTACACAATAAAAAACATTACTGCTCCCAAAAACCCCACAGAGTTAAGAAAATTAATCACTCTGTGGTTCGGTTTGCAGGGCTTAAAGTTCTCCGGCGCTGTGCAGGAATTCTGGCGTGAGGCGTTTTTGTATTCAACAATATATAAATATGTCTGTGGAAAATATTCTTTCGTATTTTTTGAATCACGAAAAAATCGGCTCTTAATTTTTCTATTCAGATATTTATTTTGTTGAGGAAGGGACTGAAAAAAAGATTTTACTTAATCATGTTTGCTTTGAATGTTTTACCTCAGATTTGTACAGTGATCCACTGTTTGGTATCAAGTGTTCTAACCTTAAAAATAGTTTAAAAAAACACAATTAACCTAAAATGTTTGTGTAGTCATTATAATTTCAGATCATAGTAGCCTAAAATAATAGTAGCCTGTAATATTCATTTGTTGGACAAAACATCAGTTTAATTTTTGTGGGTTGTTTTCAGTCATTTAATTATTGTGCAAGAAAAATGCTCTACATGGTGGAGTACTTGGTAGAAACGCTTTTATTTGTTTATGCAAAGCACTAAGTTGTCAGTAATAATAACCATGCATACAGAACGAGTTCAACATTTCTAGGTTTGTCCCGCCTCCCCCAGGCTGTGATTGGTTGGTTGTTTGACGGCAACTAACAAACACGGCTGCATGAAAGGCTCCTGATCTCCCTGCGGAGGTCAACAGGCAGGCAGAACGTGAACAGGTGAGCGTCACGCAGTGCCCAGAAAACCTGATGTTGATGATGAGAGGGCAGAGGAGAGGACCGCGGCTGGTACGCCAAAGACTAAAATATAAAAGTGACAGTACCGGTACACTTAGAGCACAGACGGCTTTTATATTGTGAGAAATAACAGGAAGTCATCTCTCCCGTTAGCGCGAGCTTTGTAGCAGAGCGTTCAGGCGCAGTTAAACCAACGCAGCAGCTGCTTTATAAATCCAGTGCCAGCTGCTGTGTAAAATAACAGCGGCTGTGGATGAGACGAGAGGTGACTGCTGGAAGTCAAAGACTTCGTATTTAAGTTTATGCTCTGCTTGCAGTTGTTTCATAAATGGCTATTAAAACACATTCCGAGGGGATTTGAAACGCCTTTTTGTTTTTGGCGCTGTCGCTAAAACCTCTTTGGGAGGGCGGCAAATATTTCTCCCTGCAGACATTACATTACATTACATTTACTAATTAGGCAGACACTTTTATCCAAAGCGACTTACATTTCAGGAACAACAAACAAGCATCAATACAACACAAGATCTATAAGTGACAGTACATACTAGTAAGGGCAGCAATAACTAATAGCGAGAGCTAATAGCACGTATCGCATCAATGGAGTAAATACCTAGAGAAACAAGCAAGATTTGACAAAAAAGGGCAATCAATACAAGACAATTGTAAGGGGATAGAAGAAGAAGAGCACAGGAAGTGCATGTTAGAGGTTAGCGGTTAGAGGTGTTATAAGAGGAAGTGTTCTCGGAAGAGATGCGATTTCAAGAGCTTCTTGAAGTTAGAGAGGGACGTCCCTGCTCTGATGGCGTGTGGTAGCTCGTTCCACCATTGTGGTGTCACAGATGAGAACAGGGACGGAGATTGCTTTGTGTGAAGGGATGGCAGAGCCAGGCGGCGTTCGATGTGGGGGGGGGGGGGGGGCTACATTTTTGGCCATGACTGTAGGTGAACACCTTTAGCCCCATAACAGTATATTCCAACCTTCTGTCATTTCCCAGACACATTGATAGTTATGTAAATGATTGTAAACAGGAACACCTGCAGGTAAATGTTTGTCTTTATTTGAATCACAGCAAACACAGAAAATGGCCAAAACTTAACTATTGCTAAACAAAACCTGCTGATGTTTACGTGATAAACTGACAATTCAAAAAAAACTTGCAGGGACATGCAACTGACAGAAAATGACCCGTTTCATTATCAGAATTTGATCAGTTCAGTCAATAACAGGGTTTTTCCTGCATAGAGAAGTTTTTGGCGCCTCCCAAAAAGGTTTTTAGCGAGCGCCAAAGGAAAATCCTCAGCGCCAAAATGATCAAAACAATTGGGGGAAAAAGCCATTTATCAAACAACTGTTGAGCAAGCAGAATATGAACTTAAATATAACGTCTCGTCTTCCAGCAGTCGCCTCTCCTCTCATCCACAGCTGCTGTCTTTTACACATGCAGCAGGCGCTGGATTAATAAACCAGCTGCTGCGTTGGTTTGACTGCGCCTGAACGCTCTGCTACGAAGCTCGCTATTGACTTCCTGTTATTTTTCACAAGATAAAAGCCGTTTGTGCTTGAAGTGTGTCGGTATTCACCGGTACTGTCACTTTTACATTTTACTCTATGGCGTACGGGCACCTGTCCTCTCCTCTGCCCTCTCTAAATCAGGTTTTCTGGGCACCACGTGACGCTCAACCTGTTCCTGTTCTCGCCGGCCTGCTAACCTCCGCAGGGAGATCGGGAGAAATTAGGGAGAAAAAAGTTTGTCCTGCAAAATGTTAGGTGCACCAATGCAACCAAGCCAAATATGTAGTGGCACTCGACAGATTTTCGGGCGCACACTGGAGCCCTGAGAAGCAGTCTTTTATTTTACTGGAGGGTTTTTTAGTGTCCCATTACGTGAATGGTCTCTTTTTGTCTCGTCTGTCGATGTCAGGACTACGTTGGTGACCTGGCAGCAGAGATCCGTGCAGAGGAAGAGGAGGAGTGGGTTCTGGAGTGTCTGGGGACGCTGGCCAACCTCACCATCCCTGACGTGGACTGGGAGTTGGTGCTGAAGGAGTACAACCTGGTACCCTACCTCAAAGACAGGCTTAAACCAGGTACTGATTTGCTTTACACATTTAATGCACACAAAGAAACCAGTAAGAAATGATGCAAGTGTATGTTTTATTAGCTGCAGTGAATGTATAGTTTTTTTTGTTTAGTTTTTCTTTATAGTGCTTTAAATAATTTTATTTTCACTCAAGTTAACTTCAGAATTTACCGTTATCATATGTTCACTGTTACTGTCATCTTTTATAGTAAAGTTTATTATTCAAGTGTAAAATATCTTATAATACTTAATAAAATAACTTTCAACTACAGGAAAGATTACCAACATTTAAAGGGATACTTTGATTGTTGCGATTGTTATCCAAAACAATTTTTGTTAAATTCGGCGAATATTTCCTCATGGTTAGTTAGCTCTCTGTTTTTCGTGTGGTTTTCCTACACAGCCCTGGGTCTGTAAATTGAGCACAAACAAAGCAGCTCGGAGCGAGCAGCAGGTGGCGGTGGCGCGCTCGAAGCAGTGGGAGAGAGAATGAACTAAAGAGGAGCTCCTGTGTGTTGCTGCCAACTGTTAAATAAAGAGAGTGAAAGAGGTTGGCCCCAAAGTTAGCTTTGACTTCGGCCCTGGAGATAAACAGTCGCTCCTGTGCTTCCCAGCTTTTATCAGTCACTGTATTTTTGTAAAAACTATTTCAAATAACTCGCTAGTTTTTTCTCTGTTGTGTTGTAGATGCTCCGTTAGTGTGTTTACACACATCGTTCGATTGATGATGTTTGTTCACTAATTGTAACTATTGGAGTGCCTCTTGATAATCCTACCAAAAAATTTGCTTCAATACATATTTAAATATTGACATGCTTGTTGTCACACCTTCTACAGTGCTGCTAAAACTTGCACTCTTATTGAAACTAACGTGCTCTCGGACAGCAGACGCTGTGGATTCTGCTATATTTCTGCAGAGTTTTCGAAGGAGCAGTGAAGGGAGGGGAAATCTTTGCTCGGCAGTTGGATTCAAATGTCAGTAAACTCTCTGCAGAATCGGATAGTATCCCTTTAATAAAGCTTATTCTTGTGTGTTTCAGGCTCAGCAGAGGATGACCTCATCCTGGAGGTGGTGATAATGATCGGAACAGTTTCCATGGATGACGCCTGTGCCGCCATGTTGGCTAAATCTGGCATTATTCCTGCCCTGATCGAGCTACTAAATGGTAACACATGTTCTGTTTTAGACTCACGGACACAATGTGTGGTGAATGTTTACACACCCTTTGAGATTTTGAATTTTCCAATGTCAGTGTGCTGTCTTGCAAAGTCTTGTGATGTAAAATATCCTCTTATACTGAAATTTAAATTGTCACTTTTGTTTTGTTTGAATACGTGAACCCGAAGAAGTAAAAAATAAAAAACAACAAATAAACCAAAAAGTGCTCACAGGCAATATAAAATTTTGAAACCTGCTTTCTGTATGTTCTTCTGTTTGTTGAATGTAGCCCAACAGGAGGATGATGAGTTTGTGTGTCAGATTGTCTACGTCTTCTATCAGATGGTGTTTCACCAAGCTACACGAGACGTCATCATCAAAGACACCCGTATCCTTCCCACAGTGCACTCTGCCTACCTTAAATTAAAAGACGAATGAGACTCGAGGCGAGTTGTATAACGCATTTCAACAAGACAATCCTAAAGAGTAAAATATAGAAAATAAAAACAGGTTAAAACAGGACTGTAAAAGCTACAGTGCAGTGTAATATATAAGAGGTGGTGTTCTGCTTTTAGACTTTTTCCCTCTCCTTTATTGAGTTATAAACCTTTTTTGTGCATGTAACAGGTTTGCAAAGTGAAAAAGCCCAAAGTCCAGCCCAAAGGGAGTTCCCATCTCCCAAAGAACACTCTGCTCAGAACTGCCTGAAAAAAGCTCATTTGTAGTCCAGCCTTTACTTCCCTTTCTTGTGATGTCACAAGAAAATAGGTGTCATAATGCTCGGCGAGCGGCTACTCCGAATCGCGCTCAAAAACAGCGGTGGAAAAACCTAGAGCTGCAGCACACAGCTCTCCTCTCCCTTCCAAACACCAGCTGCCCTCCAGGCAGTCAGTGGACATAAAGTTGTTCCTGTGATGTAGAGACAGAGCTCAGTTTAAACTTTATGGATGAAAGATCCTTTTGTTACAGATTAATAACTCACCGCTCTGAAACTCTCGCTCCAGTCCATGTTGCCAAGCTGGTCGGCAACATGTACAGCTGAACCCAAGCGGTGTTTGCTTCTCGCTGACCCGCCCTTCTCTGCTTCTGATTGGCTAGTAGTCCTTAACTAGGAACTGCACATGTGCAACTCCCAACAAAGATCATTTAGAGACAAGATGTATCACTCCATAGCTAAAACGAAGCCTTCAACACAGGGTGAAAAGAGGAAATGAGCATGATACCACCTCTTTACTCAAAAGTCTTCTTTACCAGTTACTGTTAATCATTCTTTTTTGTCTCCAAAAACAATGACTTCAGTTTTATCTAAAGAACATTTTTTAAGCTGAGTTCACAGCACCTTATGTTGAGGTATGACGGGCTTCGCAGACTGTGAAATCTTACGCCACTGCCTTCGAAGACTTTCTTCCTTTAACCTTCTCTCTAGAGGCTCCTGCCTACCTGATAGATCTGATGCATGACAAGAATGCCGAGATCAGAAAAGTGTGTGACAACACCCTCGATATTATTGCCGTAAGTTAAACACACACATTTTTGATGCACACACAAGGTAGCAACTTTACAAGTCATGTCTTTAATAAGGAATAGAAACACACTTTCCTGCCTTTATCTGTATTTACTTTTCTTCATCTTCCAGGAGTACGATGAGGAATGGGGGAGGAAGATTCAGTCGGAGAAGTTCCGCTTTCATAACAACCAGTGGTTGGAGATGGTCGAGAGTCGCCAAGCCGATGAGTCTGAACCGTATCTCTATGATAACGACGACAGGACTGATCTGTTCTATAGTGCAGGTACACAAGCAGAACACACTGGTTCATGCATGTAGAATAACAGAAAAGAAAAAGAATAACTGCAAAAAGTGACCTGCTGGTCATTTTTATGTTGTATCCTGAATTATCCATTTTACTGCAAGAGTTTTAGTCGTACCTGCTGATCATTGTACCGGTTTCAGCAAATTAGTTTTTCAGCATGGTTTATTCGAAAATTAACCCCAGAACTGACGTCGGCAGCGCAAAGTACCGTACTTTCCGTCCTTCTCTTCTTCACTGACTTCATTGTTGTGAAGGTCCTCCGAACGAGCTGTCTTTACAGCAGCACAGACTAAATTGTGCTCAGCAGGCTGACATATATAACATACATAATGCAATAATAGTTTTCAAGTAGACCACATGAGAAGTATACAGGAAGGAAGCACACATTTTTACTTAATGATTCATTTATTCACCAACACTGAAGCTTTTGGTATCCGTGTGTGTTGACTTTGAAACCGCTGAATTGAAACTGAAATGTTGATGTAAGTATGTTGTGCAGTACTTGTTGAGTGATGAGGGAAACTGCTGTATTACTTACAGTTCCAGCTGTATTAGTAACATTTAGAAAAGACTGATTATGATGACTTTGACTTAGTTTAAAGTCCAAGCTCTTGTGTGTGCGTTTTATCCTGTTTGTGTCGTTAGATGGAATAACTCCTGCAGACGGTTCAGTCAGCCCGGATTTCTTCAGCCTACAAACTCAAAATGGAGACATGCACCACACTGGGTGAGTTTACACACTCCGCAAACATGTATAAGCTGGGTTAGGTGAAAGAAAAAACATGCAAAGCGACAAACTGTGTTTTGAGAATGTGGTCAGCAGGGGTGTGACTGATGTCAACGTTTCTCATGTAATATCATCCCCACTTATTTTTGTCTTTGTTTGGGGAAGTGACCTCTTAGTCTTTAAATGTACATGTTGCACCTTTTCTCCTCAGTGAGAAATGAATTCATTTTAATTCAGTTATGAACTCCTGGACTTCAATAACTCCTGTTTTTCAGCAGGTTTTCTGCTCATGTTCAAAGCTTTCTGCATATGACCAGAGAAAAGTCATAATATTACCAGACTAACGTCATCATTTAATGAGAAGTCTACCTGCCCTTTACTCTGCTGCATGCATTACGTTATTGATCGTTTAGAAAAACTGAAACTAACCAAACCCTGCCCTGGTCGGGCAGAAATCTAACTACAAATCCACATGTGTCAGATAAAGTGCAGCTCACTGTCCCAAACAGAGCAAGTTTGTCTTGTCACATTTTTATCTGACTTTGATTTCCTAGAGATGGCAACGATGTCTTCGACCAGACCAGCTCATCACCTGGGCGACCAGCTACTGCCTACGGCTTCAGACCTGATGAACAACCCTTCTATCAGTACTCATAGACAAATACACACGATCCATTCCCCGTCTACATCCTGCAGGTCCACTGTAATATCCTTAGATTGAATTTTCACTTCTAGAATCTCTCATGACTGAAGGCATCACAAGACATTGATCATAAAGGCTGAAATGCATAATACTGACACACAGATTTCAAACTAGTTATTAAATAAACTGCACTTCCATGCAGTCAGCTTTCATTAACCATTTCATTCAGTCGCTATTATGTTAAACAGATAAGTAGCTAAGTCTTCCTTACCCACTGGCTACAGTCTTCTTATGGTGAGGTCCCAGTGGGTCAGCAAACATTTTAAGAACAGGCTTACGTTTGTAAGATTTTGCATGTTTTCCCTTTCTAATAATGAATATAATTCACTGAAAACATTTAATCATTTAAATGTGTTTTAGATTCACCAGTTTGACTAATTTAACACTATGTATACACGCTCATTTTATTGACATGCACTACAATGTACATAAGTTTTTTTCATCTGTGTCACTGTAAAATAGGCACATTGTTGACGGCGGTCCTTAAAACTTAGGGTACTTTCACACTGGCAGGAAGCAGACCAAAGACCTGTCTACCTGTAAAGTGGTCTGTACCGGAGATGTTTGTTTTTTTAATTCTTTTTTATTCAACATATTTATTTATTGTCAAAATTTAGTGCTGACATTTCCCACAATGCAACTAGGTGTGTTATGCTAGTAGCTGCTAACGTAGCCTCAAGCAGAGATGAGGTCTGGTAATCTCATTTCTTTCTAAGGCTACATCCACACTACTACGTTTTTGTTTTAAAACCAAGCGAGAAGCTTCTGGTCTGAGACGTGAATCCAATGCGTAGGTCCCTTAAACCTGGATTCTATCGAACCCCCAGCAGGCGGCGACTCTTCTGGTTTCAAAAAGAAGTCCGGCTCCATTAGAAATAATGTTAAAATGACCCGACTTCTCTGCTGATTTATTCCCTCAGTAAACACTTTCCTGATGAGTTTATGGTCTCAGTCGCTAGTTTCAAGTCTTCTTCAACACAACACGATAATCATTTAGTAAATTATGGTCCCATTTAGAGGACAATAGACCATAAAGCAGAGTACGCTTCAGGGCGGGACTATCTATGATTGACAAATCATTACCATGGCGACCTGTCAATCAGGTTAGAGTGACTCGTACCCACGGCGCTGTGTAAATTTAACCAGCGCAGTTTAAAAAAGCTTATTAGGAGCCGGCTGTTCACTTTCTCTGGAGAGTACACTTAGTTTTAAGACTGTTGTTCGCTAGAAAAAGTTATCAGCCTGTGAATTACAGATGCACCTAGCTAAGCAAGCTAGCTAGCTCCACAAAGGGCCGTTAGCGCCACCGTCTCGTCCGAATACGGTCACTTCCTTGTTTCAAAAACTCAACATGGCACAAACACTACGTCCACTTCTTTTATACAGTCTATGTTTAAAACGCAGCACTTTTGCCACAGTTTGAAAACGCTGCTGACACCGTTTTTGTTTTAAAACTCCAGGGTAGCGTTTCAGTGCGGATGGACAAAAACAGAGGACTTTAAAAGCGATGATGCAGATGCTCACATTTTGCTTCCTGATTGGGTCTAAGCAGAAACGCGATGCTACTGACAAGGTTTTTTGCTGTGGTAAAAACTTGTCTGTAGTAGTACTTTTCTTCTTTCACCGAATCTTCTGCAACGTCTGCTTCCTGTTTACACCGGCACGCACATGCCCGGTGCACGTGAATGGACACTGAATGTGCAACTTTAGTTGTTTTAATGTAGATGGAGATCATTTCTGATACACAGTCTAAAACGCTGGTGTGGACTGAGATCGTTTTTTAATAAGAACATAGTAGTATTGTGAATGCAGCCTAACTCCACACATCCAGTTGCTTGTTTTTTTTTCTTATTTGCAGCTATTACATGTCCATTATTCTCCATTTTCCCCACGCGTGTCAAAATAGGCACCAACCTTGTTGCCACGAAAAAGCGGTCAGTGGCTGTACCTGGATCAGTGAAGCATTTCCACAGATTGGCGAAACAGTAGACACCTGTGAAAGCAGAGCAGCATGTGTAGGACAAAGGGGGACAGTCAAAAAAGCCAACCCAGTGTGAAAGTGGCCTAAGCAAAGATGGCTCTAATCCGAAGCTTAGAATTCTGCCGTTTTGTGCATTTTATGGCTCTGGTCATTTTTGTGACCACCGCTTACAGTGTGCTGTAAACGTTACTGATGTCAAACCATAGCAGTATATATAAAAGTAGAAAGCTCTCACTGCAGAAAAAGGTGGATATCCAGTGTGTCCCTGCGAAGTAAAATTTATTGACCTGCGACCCCTTAACTGTATCAGCCCCCTTAAACAACATTGGGATTCACTCTCCATGAAGCGACAGTATGAATGGCAAACCGTTTTAACATATAATCCTTAAAACTAGCTGCTATTTAAAAGCTACTAACACTTATTTAATAGATATTAGTGAGAGATTGTAAATTTTTGCTATTGAAATCTGCGGGGCTCTTTTTTAACTATTATCTATTAGATACTAGTACCTATTCATCACTCACTAGTAACTATTTTAAAAGATACTAGTAACATTTTCATCAGTTACTAGGAATTAAAAAATAGTTACAGCCAACTAAAAAATAAGTACTAGTATCTAATAAATTAGGAACAACTTTTAAATAGCGACTAGTGAGTTTTAAGGAATAAATGTTAAAATGACTTGCCATACAGTGTGCAAGTTTTAGCAACAAAGCAGCCCCATGTCTGAATGTCTACATGTGAATCAGAACAGTATAAATACACATTTCAAAACAAAAATATGTTGTGCCATTGACTAAACAACACACAGAAAAGGAGGCTCCCACTGGATTTGCCAGACACTGACAATTAGCTACATACTGTATTACTGATAGCATATTTGCACATAGTGTTGATGGACGATGTTTGCTTTTTTATTATAAGTTATTGTTAATCTATGTATGTTATTGTGTTTATTGCTACGTAACAAAACACTGTAAACATAAACTAGGACTGGACAATAGACACTCTTCATTTTTCTCACTGTCTTTCATCCTCAGGTTCTTTAATAAGAATAAAAAAAGTTTAAAAATCACATGACATGACATTTTGAAAATAATACTATGTTCACTCTTAACATCCTGGACATTATGTGTACCATGTGGTTTTTTCTTGTAGAAACGCAGGTTTTGTTTGTTCAGTCATTCGCACCAAAACGCATTTTATGTACACGTTAAATGCTTTTTTCATTTGGTTTGGTTTATTGACAATAATTATGAACAATAACAGCCTTTCTCACAGATTTAACGACAGCTTCCCGGACGGTTTTCGCAGTCGGTAACCTTTATCAAGAGAGACTCAGACATTGAATGTGAGACTTAGAAAATTACTATTTCATCATTCACCCCCCCCCCCATTAAAGACAATGATTAAATGACATCGATCAAGATGCAGTATGGTTGATCATTTATTGAATTGAACAGATGAGTGCGTCGTTTACAAGCTTTTCTTCTTTTGTTTACAAGCTTTTCTTCTTTTGTTTACAAGCTTTTCTTTCTTTTGTTGCCACATTTCTACATCAACACAATGTGGCGTGAAATCATGGGAGAAACGTAGAAGTTAGCGACTAGCTGGGGAACATAGCTGAGCATTTAGCAGCGAGAGCCACATATTTCACAAGAGTTGGTGAAGATCAAAACAGAGCTTTCATGACTTTCATCCGGTGGCCAGAAACCTGATTCCTAATAAATGCACATTAGCTATTTTAAAATAGCCAATGTGTTACTAATAATGTGATACTGGATCAGTTTTGACCCAGTATCACATCATAAAGAAGCTTTATTTTTATTTTTTTAACCATTATGGTGACAGCATGAAACGTTCAGTGGAAATGTTTTCCATGCTTTTACTGTCATTTTTGTTCTTGATCTTTTGGCCTTTTGGAAAAATATCCAAAACATCAATGGATGCAGCTTTGAGATCACAACGTAGAGTTAAGTTTTTACATCTTTATCGGGTCATTTTATCCATTTCAGAGTTAGCGTAAGGCAAATATAAAGAAGTTACTGCTTGTATGACGAAGAAAAAATGCTTATTACAGAATGTGAGAGCAAAAATCTTTAAAATATACGAGTATAAAAATATGATGCAGTAAAAATCTGGCGTTTATTATCCCACTAACCGCTCTTTTCACCTCTGCTCTCTGTACCATTTAATAAACTCTGAGCGAGGTGTTGGTCAAGTAGTTCTGGCAGGATTCAGCAGTCAGTTGTCGCCCCGCCGTTGGGATGGGGGCTGACTACAATCTCCACTTCAGTGATCTCAGTCACAAGCTCTCTGATGATGCCCACGCTGTCCAATGGCAGCTCAGCATCACTTTCCGGCTGTGATTCCATTGGCTGAGGGCTTTGGGGAACCTCCTCCTCTTCTTTTTCTTTCTTTCCTTCTTCTGCATGATCTCCCTTCTCCTCAGCTTCTTCGTCATCGTTTCTCTTCTCAGTCTCCCGCTCGCTACCTTTCTCTTCATCGTCTACCTTCTCGTCTCTCTGCTCTGGGGTTAAAGCGGTGGCGCTCTCTGCTTGAGATTCAGTGGATTGGCTGCCTTCATCAACAGGTTCACCTCCTGTTTTCCCTTCACCTCTCTCCTCATCTTTCCCTTCCCCCGTCCCTGTCTCTTCTTTCTGTTCCTTTATTCTCTCATGAACCTCCTTCTCCTCTGCGGCCTCTATTTGCTTCTCCTCTTTTACCCGCTCCACTTCCCAGTTGTCCTTTATTTCTCCCGTCAAGTACACCGCTCTGTCGGTGGTCTGCTGTGTCGTCATCTGCGTTACAGGAGGTGTTGCGGAGTTGAAACTAATCACCTCGCTTAGTGTCCCAAGGCTGATTTTCATTGGACCATCTGTACCGGGTGGACTTGGCGATGAGGGACAGGGACCCTGGAGGGAAGTTGCATCTTCTGTCACTTGACCATCGGTGGCAGAATTGTCAGATTGACCACCTTGAACACATTCAGCTGGAACATCTGTGGACTGCGGCGAAGACGGTGAGGACGGCATGGACACCGAAACATTAGGAAGGTCTGGGATGGCATTATTTGATTCTGGGTTAGCAGGTGTGTCATCAGCTGTACCGACTTCATGTGAAACATCTGCTTCAGAGTCATCAGGTGCGGCTGAGTTGGAAGACTCTGCAGCAGCTGATGGCGTGTCAACTTCTTGGGTTTCCTCGACGCAAGAAGCCTCCTCGGTCTGTGATTCATCAAACTGTTGTGTCACGACAATCACAGGAGACAGAAGCACTGTGCTCTGCTCAGAGCTTTGAGGGGCACTGGGGTCAGATTTGGTATCAGCGTTAAGTTCTGGTTCATTCTGAAGGCAAACGTCAGCTGTGACTGTCCGAGCTCCCTCCTCCTCCTCCTCCTCAGGAGCAGGCTCACTTGGTGCCGCTGAGGAGGCGTCTCGAGCGTGAATGGCCGGGCTGTCTGGTGCAGAGTGAGGAGGCGTCTGCCCCAGCAGACTGTACTGACTAATGCCCAGATCGGTCGTGTCCAATAGGAGATTGTTGCTCTTCTTACCGGCAGCATCCTGGACCACTGAGGAGAGGGGAAGGGGCAAAGTTAGAAATAAAGTCAGACAGGAAGGTATGTTCCAGTTTTCATTTATTATTTTTCAATGTTACGTTTATAAAAAGGGAAAAACTATGCCTATAAAATTTTTTTTACAAGTATATTTCATTTTGAAATGCATCAAGGGCTTCAAAACTGATTCACTGGAGCTTAGTAAAGGTCCAAAAACTATATGTTTTTAAAACATTTAGCAAAAGCAAGGGCTATAAATACACAAGTTAATCAAGTACAAATTATATCATTTTAAATTAAACATAGGCAGTAAACCCTTTGGCAGACAACATCCACCGGAGTGGACAGATGTATTTTCAGTCAGAACAAAATGTACAAGAAATATATAATTAAAAGTATTTCTAACATCCTATTTAGTTGA